GCGCAGTGGAGGCCTGAGGTCCGGGCCACCCCACCCGGCGGATGCTTCTCAGCCTCAAACCACCCTCACCTGTGGAAGTTGCTGGGCAATAGATTCCTGGTGAAGCCAGCACTGAATGAGTTTAGGCAGAATTCCAAGCATTCCAGCCCCTCCCACAGGAGAGGGTAACTAAAAAAAGAAAAACTCTTCTTGGATTCTAAAACACGCTCAGATCAGTTCCATGAATTTCCACCCCCCCGAACATACCCGCATAACCAAGCGCTGAGATCCAGGAGCACCATGGCCAGCACCCCGACGGCCACTTTCACCTCCCCCTTCCCGGAGGCACTCTACCCTGGCTCCCACAAAACGTGTTTGTTTTTCTTTCTGCCCGCTGTTTATGGAAATGAATCCTTCAATGTGTTTTCTTTAGTATCTTTCGTTTCTTTCTTCCTCATTTTTTTTTTATGACTCCTCACCCGAGGATATTTTTTCCCCATTGATTTTCAGAGTGGGAGCGAGGAAGCGGGGAGGAGGGAGAGAGAAACACCAATGTGAGAGAGAAATATCCATGGGTTGCCTCCCGCAGGCACCCCTGACGGGGGCGAGGGATGGAAATGCAACCCAGGTACACGCCCTTGACCGAGAATGGAACTCAGGACCCTGGGGCGGGTGGCCCAAGCTCTAACCATTGAGCGCATCAAGCAGAGCTGCTTTAGTGTCTCTGCTTTTGCTCAGTGATGACACCGCCATCTGCTCTGTGTCTGCTCTGCCGTTGGTGATACCAGAAGGAGGTGACTATCCAGTAATTGGGCTTCATGCTGCTTTGTTCCTGTTTAGCGGGAGAACGAGAATTCCAAGTATGTGACTGAAATCACCTACTTTCCCCTGGGTGGAATGTTGAGATGGGCTTACACCAAACCAAGGATCACCATCATTTAATACCCTTGCATCAGGGTGGAGTTGGCTTAGTTTGGACGCCTAGGTCAGTGGTCGGCAAACTCATTAGTCAGCAGAGCCAAATATCAACAGTACAACGATTGAAATTTCTTTTGAGAGCCAAATTTTTCAAACGTAAACTATATAGGTAGGTACATTGTTATTAACTTAATTAGGGTACTCCTAAGGCTTAGGACAGTGATGGCGAACCTTTTGAGCTCGGCGTGTCAGCATTTTGAAAAACCCTAACTTAACTCTGGTGCCATGTCACATATAGAAATTTTTTGATATTTGCAACCATAGTAAAACAAAGATTTATATATTTGATATTTATTTTATATATTTAAATGCCATTTAAGAAAGAAAAATCAACCAAAAAAATGAGTTCAGGTGTCACCTCTGACTCGAGTGTCATAGGTTTGCCATCACTGCTGTAGTCTATAAGAAAAAGCTGACAAAACAAAAAGCACTGTACTGTTTTTGAGTTTCAGGAGAAAAAATGTCAAGAATTGCTTTATTAAAAAATGTAATTGAGGAAATAACACCATAATCACAAGGTAAAGCATTTTTTATTTTAAATACATTAACCTTTAACAAAAAGTGTTGTATTAAGTCGTTGTTTATTTTCACATTAATCATTGTTAAAATCACTTATGTAATTCATCTAAATAATGTTTTGCCAGCTTTCAAAACTAAATCATAAAGGCCCATGTGTGTAACCAGAAACATAACTTAAAATTTATTTGTACTAGGAGAATACTTATTCATCTAAGAAGATATCAAAGAACTGAAAATATATTTGCTGTGAAAATTTTTAGTAGTTTTACAGCTAAGTAGTAATCCAACTAGTAATTTATAGCTAAGATGTTCACTTCCATTCTTTTTTTGTTTGTTTTAATTATGTTTCTTATTGATTTCAGAGAGAGAGGAAGGAAGATGGAGAACAAAAGAGAAACGTCCATGAGAAAGAAACCTCAATCATCTGCCTCCTATGGAGATGGAGCACGAAACCTGGGCATGTGCCCTCTCCAGGAATCTAACCTGTGCCCTCTTGGTGCATGGGATGACACTCAACCAACTGGACCACACTGGCCCTGTTCACCTCCATTCTTGTTTGTTGTTTTTAATCCTCACCTGAGGATATTTTCCATTGATTTTTAGAGAGAGTGGAAGTGAGGGGAGAGACAGAGAGAAACATCAAGGTGAGAGAGACACATGGATTGGTTGCCTTCTGTAGGGCCAGGGATCGAGCCTGCACCCGAGGTATGTGCCCTTGACTGGAATTGAACCCTCAGTCCTCGGGCTGACACTCTAACCACTGAGCAGACTGCCTAGGGCTCAAATATGATAATATTTTTGATATTATATGCTGTGAAAAGCCACGGCCAGCGTGGCTTTCGGGTTCAAAGGCTTGGAGAAAGAGCTGACGCGCAAATTAAAACACAAGACAAAAATAATAATTTTGAAATTATGGGGGGAAAGGGAAAACTGAGAAAGAGCTGACGCGCAAATTAAAACACAAGACAAAAATAATAATTTTGAAATTATGGGGGGAAGCCAGGGAAAACTCAACTGCAGTAGTCAAGTTCCACTGAGTCTCCCTTCCCAGCTGCTTTTATTTACTAGAATACACAACTGCATTTTAGGAATGCAAACAGACATATCAATGGTAATGTTTAGTAAACAGTAAGATTATCAGGTTTGGGGGGAGTTTGCTTTAGGCCATTGAGTCAGCAGTAGGTAATAAAATGCAAATATTCACCCTGTGAATATCAAGAGCCCAAATTCAGCCTTCTGGCAGACTAATCGCATTTATATTAATTACTGTTGATCTTGGTTTCCAGCAATATGCTTTTCTTGTATGTTAGATAATCATTTATTACTAGAGGCCTGGTAAACGAATTTGTGCACCAGTGGGATCCCTCCACCTGGCCTATGGGATCAGGCTGAAACTGGCTCTCTGACATCTCCTGAGGGGTCCTGGATTGCTAGAGGGCACAGGCCAGGCCAAGGGACCCCACAGGTACATGATCGGGCTTGGGGAGGGACTTCGGGAGGGCTCCAGGGCATGTCTGGCCCATCTTGCTCAGTCCTGAATGGCTGGACTCCAGCAGCAAGCTAACCTCCCAGTTGGAGCGTCTGCTGCCTGAATGCATGTCCTTCTTTGTGATGATCTAAATGTAGGGAAGTACAAATCACAGCAAAAATTAAAGTTTTCATCTTTAATGAAATGACTTTGGAAATAATGTCTATTTCCATGACACCAATACTATAGTGCTCGGAGTCACAGTAAGGTACACAGAATTACATCCATAATTAATATGAATGCCAACATTTCAAGCAGTAATTTCTGTTACATGGCAAACAAAATCAAGAAAGCAACCATCAAACAAAAAAGACCCATAGCTTCAGATAAGGCAAATCTCAGGATAGCATATGAGAACAGCTGCTGCTTCAGCGAAGGGTTTCTGGCATAACCAATGATAAGGCTGCCAAAGACTGTTCCAATACCAGCACCAGAACCAGCCACTCCTACTGTTGCAGCACCTGCACCAATAAATTTGGCAGCAGTATCAATGTCTCTGCTGATTGCACTGGTCTGAAACTCCCTTTGGATTAGCTGAGGCACACCATTCTGGGCCCCATTAAATACTGTAGAGCCCTCTCCAGTCCTAGCCTCTGGTCGAGATAACACTGATGCAGAAATTGGTCTGTATGCAACTCTGGATCCAGCTCGGATCAGAGCGGGGCTGCAGGCGAGCTTGGCGCAGGTGAACATCTTACACTCCCGGGGCGGCGTGGCTGGAGACTGGGTGGCAGGCGGCGTGGGCTCCTCTCCCGCTTTCTTCCAGGAGGTGGCGGCGGCGGCAGAGGTCGAAGGAGTGGGCCTATCATTAGCATATTATGTTTTGATTGGTTGAACGGATGACTGCACAACCGAACACTTAGCATATTAGGCTTTTATTATACAGGATTAAACCAATTCAACAAGTAATAGTAAATAATTAAACAAATAATTACTGAGCATCAATTATGTACAAGTCACTATTAATCAGTATTCTCACTTTCCTTTCAGAACTAAAGCCTTGTGTGTTGGGAGAGACTGAAAGGTATGCCTTGTCCATCTGTTATGTTCTCTTTTCCTCCTAAACAACTGAAAAGGCATGTAGTTGACAAAAATCATGAAAGTTCATTGGTAAGTTCATTTTAACAGTAAGGAAGGAAAAACTAAGTACTTATTAAAAAGAAAAAAACTACATTTACACACTAATTGCAACCGCGGTTCCCAGGATAAATTAACCTCAGAGATGCCACACAAATAAAGGATTACAGTGTGGGTGGGATTATCCCAAGTGTTTGTGGAAAAAAATCTGGAGTTGCTTCCAAGCATCCACCTGGGCCATGGCATGAGCCCTGGGCTCTCCTCCCCAGATGACATTTGTGCCCAACAGGGAGTGCAGGGAGGCCCGGCACAGGGGAAAGTAAGGAGGCTCAATGTAGTGCCCCACTCCTGGGTAACAGATTATCTGCGGCTTCTCCTTACCATGGGCCTGTAAGCGTTTAGAGGCCTCATTAGCAAAGAATTCACTCTTCCAGTTGTGGTCATCCTGACCTACAAGGAACAGGAAGGTGCTCTCAGACCTTTCCACAGGAATGAAACTCTTCTGGTCCGGTCCTTCCAAAGGGCTGTTCAGGACATCCAAAATGTCTGCAAAGCCGTCTTTGGTTACCTTGATTCGATTTTGGTCGAAACCAAGAGGCTGCAAGGTCTCATCCTTGTAGTGTAAGGCTCCTCCGACATTGGCCACGGAGCCATTGATGATGACTGCAGCAGTGATGCCCTTCAGGAACGAGGCCATGGAGAGGCAGAGATCACCTCCTTTAGAAATCCCAAGCAGCCCAACTCCTGGGCCCTTTACCTGAGATAAGGACAGAGGAATAATAATGAGCCCATGAATCAGTCTGGTGAGTAGTGCCTGGAATTGGAAGTCAGTTGGAACTGAGCCTAATCTGGGCTCTGCCATTTACCAAGGTTTGCAACCTGGGATATTTACTTATTCCTTCTTTCTATCTTCCCTTCCACCATTTCTCCATCACCATTGTTGGTGACTTTAGCCTCTCAGTTCCTTGACCTCCCTACTTCCAATGACTTTTTTCCTACCCCACTTCAGCCACCCATTCCCATTGTCATAACCTTAACCAAGTCATCATCAGTAAATACCTCATCTCCGAAATCTCAGCTGCAAGCATTCTACTCGCTAATCACCATCTTAAATACTTCTGTTCAGCCATTTTAGTACCACCTGCTTCCATTTCTTTGCGACCTTGACTGCCTTTTTTTATTTTTTATTTTCATTTTGCTATCAGTATCTTTCTCCTGTTCATTTCCTACCTCATCCAGTTTAGATTTCAAACTTCATTGTTCTTATCCCTCCCTTGCAAGCACTCTTAGCTAATACCCTTCTTCCTTTGGTCATACTTGCTTGGAAAAGTGATAACCTTGGTTAAATCCACCTTCACTTCCTCTAGGCCTGCATTTGTACAAATAAACATTGAAGGGAAAAAATACACATTTGTGCTGGCAGATCTTTACTTTCATGACCACACATTTCAAATGTGCATTCATACTGCCCATCACCTCTGCCACACTTCACTGTGTTTGCTTTTCACTTCTCCAAGGACAGTTTCATACCTCCTCCTATTTGCTCAAGCCTCTGGAACCCCGCTCGATTCCCCTTCAGTTTCAGCTCTTCATACTTCATGGAGAAAATAGAAGCTGTCCAGTAGAAACTCCTCCTCATTTTCCCCCTGCCAAATCTCCTTAGTTCTGAATGAACTGAAGCTCTCTGCCTTCCTTCCTGGTTCCAAAAGTATCTCTGTTTTATCAAAGGCCATCCCCCTGCTTGGTTTGGGATCCCATCCACTCTCATTCTCATAGTCTTTGCTCCTACAACTACTTCTCTCTTTCTCCTCCTTCATAATTTTCTTCTCTCCTGGCTCATTCCCATCACAGTACTTCTTGCTGTAGTAACTCTTACACTTTAATACCAATCGCTTGACCCCCAAAGCTACTCTGCCATAGTTTTCTCTCTTTCACAGCAAAATTGTGGAGAAAGTTGTTTGTAGTTGTTCCCTTTCTTGTCTTCTAATCTCTACTTAGTCTCCTCCAGGGTAATTTGGATTTGCATATTCTACAAGGACTGATCCTGTCATAGTTACCAAAATCCTGTATTTTGAATGGCCATTTGACCTCTGAACAGCAGTTCTTTTTTCTTCTCATGGCTTCTACAACAGCAGTTTTGATTGGTTTCAAATATTTATTCCTCATGAAAGTGCTAGGAATTAAATGATATTATTATCCCAATTTTTCAAAGGAGGAAACATAAACTAACCCCAAAGCTAGTATTTGGTGAAATCAAAACTCAAATTTAACTTTTCTCTATCCACATCTTATTCTGATTCCACTATACTCTATCACTTTTTCTAAGAGCTCCTATACTTCCATTTACTATGAGCTCTAACTGAATTGTAAATTAATCTGTTCCTCTGATACAGTGGTTCTCAACCTTCTGGCCCTTTAAATACAGTTCCTTATGTTGTGACCCAACCATAAAATTATTTTTGTTGCTACTTCATAACTGTAATGTTGTTACTGTTATGAATCTTAATGTAAATATCTGATATACAGGATGGTCTTAGGCGACCCCTGTGAAAGGGTCATTCGACCGCCAAAGGGGTCGCGACCCACAGGTTGAGAACCGACGCTCTGGTACATTAAACTGGGGCCAGCTGGAGGCAGTGATTCCTTTCCCCCCTCCCCTCTACTTCCTGTGTCAAACCTAGGGTTCTCAAATGTGTTGGGGCTTATTATAAGCCACTAGAATTTAAAATTCCATAATGCCAACTAAGAACTTCTTTACTAGTAGGAAACATGTCGTAGTAAAGTATGATTGCATAGAAACTGTCTATGGGAAGTGACTATAAAAGGTGGTATGTTGTGGTAAGGAGTGGCTGTCATGAATTTGTCAAGTTCTTGAAAACCAAGGGCATTTATGAAGAGGAGACCTGATATGTAGACCACAAAACTTAGAGAAATTCCAACCTGAGGGTGATTAAGCAGGTAGTTCACAGCTTCTTCAAAGTACTCCAGGTGGAGGGTTTCTACGCTCTTGGGGAGGTCTTCATAGCCATAATAAGCCAGAGCCATCACAGCAAAACCTTTCCCAGCCAGTAGACTAGCTCGATATTCTGGAAGGCCACCTCCAACTCCAAAAATGTCCACAATCCCAGGAAAGGGTCCGGGTTCTTTGAAAGAAACAAAACACAAAACTAAACTATTCTTGAAACACTTTTTTAAAAAAAAATTAATTTTAGAGAGACAAGAAGGGAGAGAGGGAGAGATAGAAATATTTATTGGCTGCCTCTTGCACACCCCCTACAAGCCCACAACCTGGACATGTGCCATGACCTGTAATCTGGTGCGTGGAAGGACACTCAACTGAGCCACATCAGCCAGGCTATCACTGAAACTCTACAGCAGGCATGTCAAACTCAAAGGCTAACACGGGCCAAATAAACAAGGTTTAAGTTTACGTAGGCCGCAAAAAAACAAAAGCTTCAATTTTCATAGAAATTTAGGTTTGTTTTGATAGAGACATGCTGAATACAAAGGGCTGAAATAAATGAGTAATTGTTAACATAAAATAATAGAACATTTTAATAAAAATTAATATTTTTTCTTGAACATTAACTTACCAGACACTGAATAACTGCACAGATTAATAAGCATAACACAAATAAACCTATTTTTCTTGTTCTCCAAAAGTGAAATATTTCCTGTTGCGCACACCAAACAAGTCAGTCCAAGACTAATGACATGGCAATCGGCTGCTAAAATATTCGCTGCTAATATTACTGGAGAGAAATGGTGCGCCTGCACGTAAGGTGAGAAGTGAATGCAACACGATTATAGTAATCAGTCATTAGTGGACATTGTAGTTGGTTATTAATAATTATGTATAACAGGATACTGTAAAAATTAAGTTATGAAATTTGTATTAAAACGTTTCTTACATACCGTTATATTAGCTGTGTCGCAAAAATATTCGTTGTGGGCTGCATGTGGCCCGTGGGCCGTGAGTTTGACATGCTTGCTCTACAGTGATGTCAAAAGCCAATTGTTGCCTACTTGGTAATGTCAAAGTTTTCTTCATAATCAGAAATGCTGAAAGACCCTTGGTCTTTACAGATCCAGACAATGGCATAGACTAAATCCACATTCCCCTCTATACTCAGAGCCTCAAAGCCCCACAGATTTTTACAAAGATTGTGTATTACTTTGTGGTTAAAAATAATTTACAGACAATGAAAACAGCAAAATCATTGCCATCTCCCCCAAAATGGACAATGCCAAATGCTAGTGAGAGTGCAGAGCAATTGGAACCCTCATACATTGCTGGTGAAAATGCAAAATTGTACAGCCACTTTGAAAAACAGTAGGACAATTTCATATAAAGTTAACCATAAACTTACCATATGATCTAGCAATCTCACTCCTAGGTATATTTGCCAAGGAGAAATGAAAATTTGTGTCCACACAAAAACTTGTATGCAAGTGTTTGTAGTGATGTTATTCATAATCTTCAAAGATTTGAAACCCAAATGTCCTTCAAGTGGTGAGTGGATAAACAACCATATAATGGAGTACTACTAAAAAACCAGATACATCGAGCAACACAAATGAATCGCAAATGCATTATGCTAGACAAAAGGCTACATACACTGTATGATTCCATTTCCTGGGTACTTTCAACATTTACAGAAAAAGCTTGTATTTAACGTGCAAAATTTAAAGAATAATAATAAAGCAAACACTTTATATCTACAATTTTAAAAAACTCAGTACTAAGCATCAAAGGCCCCTGAATATCTGTGCTCCTTACCTTCCTTTCCACTGTCTTGGCTTTTATTCTCTTGATTTTCTTTACCATATTACCACTTATGTGTGCGTGTGTTAAACAGTAATTTGTTTTTTGTGCCTATTTTTTGAATTTTATCTACATGGAATGAAATTGAATGTATTCTGGAATTTGATTGTTTCATTCAACAGTTTTTGAAGTTCATTCATGTTGACTCTTGTGGCTGTAGTTCAATCACTTTGCTGCTGTAAACATACCTTAATTTATCATTTTTATTGTTTTTGGACATTTGGAATGTTTGCAGTTGTTCTTGCTCTTACAAACAATACTTCTTGTTGCACATGAACCAGGAGTAGACTGATATAGTCAACTTTCTAAGTAAAAAATTGTTTTCTTGCCCAGCCAGTATGGCTCAGTGGTTGAGCATTGACCTATGAACCAGGAGGTCATGGTTCAATTCCTGGTCATGGTATATGCCCAGGTTGCAGGCTCAATACCCAGTATGGGGCGTGCAGGAGGCAGCCAATCAATGATTCTCTCTCATCATTGATGTTTCTATCTCTCCCTTCCTCTCTGAAAGCAATAAAAATATATAAAAAATATTTTAAAAAATTATTTCCAGCCCTGGTCAGTGGTTCAGTGGTTAGTGTTGGCTTGTGGACTGAAGGGTCTCAGATTTGAATGCCAGTCAAGGGCACGTACCTGTAATGCAGGTTCAATCCCTGGCCCTGATCGGGGCATGTATAGAAGGCAGCCAATTGATGTGTCTCGCTCACATGGATGTTTCTCTCTTTCTCTCCCTCCTGATCCCTCCCTCCCTTCCACTTGCTTAAAGAAAAAATAAATGGAAAAAATATCCTCAGGTGAAGATTAACAACAACAAAATTTTTTTCCAGGAGTAGATGAATATATTCCTTTTAGCAGTGTGAACTCCTTTTCCTCTACATACTTGTTAACAATTGGTAATATTAGACTTCTAAATTTTGAGGGTTTGAAATGTGTAGTTTTATTTTGCATTTCCCTGATTCCTAATAGTATAAGTATCTTTTTTAAAAATATATTTTATTGATTTTTTTTACAGAGAGGAAGGGTGAGGGATAGAGAGTTAGAAACATTGATGAGAGAGAAACATTGATCAGCTGCCTCCTGCACACTCCCTACTGGGTATGTGCCCACAACCAAGGTACATGCCCTTGACTGGAATCGAACCTGGGACCCTTGAGTCCGCAGGCTAACGCTCTATCCACTGAGCCAAACTGGTTAGAGCTATATAAGTATCTTTTTTTAAAAAAAATCCTCACCGAGGACATGTTTGATTTTAGAGAGGAAGGAAGAGAGAAAGAGAGAGAACAAGAAGTGATTTGAGAGAGAAATATTGGTTGCCTCCCATACTCTCCCTGACTGGGATCAAACCCTCAACCTAGGGATATGCCCTGATTGAGAATAGAACCCGCAACCATTTGGTGTACCGGACGATACTCCAACCAACTGAACCACTTGGTTAGGGCAGGATAAAGCGTCTTTATATTTTTTCATTGGCCAATTGCTTTTTATGTAATGGAAAAATTATCCAATAATTTCAAAAGATTTCCAGTTAATAGCAAGAGGCCTTCCTCCTTCATGCTAATTTTTTTAAACCTTAATATATATACTGTGGGAGCCTGGCCTGTATGGCTCAGGGGTTGAGCCTCGACCCAGGAACCAAGAGGTCACCAGTTCAATTTCCTGTCAGGGCACATGCCCAGGTTTCGGACTCCCCAGTAGAGGCTATGCAGGAGGCAGCGAATCGATGATGTTTCCCTTTCATTGATGTTTCTATTTCTCCCTCTCCCTCTCTCTCTAAAAATCAATAAAAACATTATATATATATATATATATGATGGGAATTATAAGCGAAGTTGTAAAATTGAGAAACCTCTAAGAAATTAAAAACTTGAAACTTCCTATAAATGTTTTTTTAAAAATTACAACTGTCTGGAAAATGTTATGCTAAGTGAAATAAGTCAGTCTGAGAAAGACAAATATCACTTATTTGTGGATTCTACTGAATAAAATGAATTGACCAACAAAATAAGACCCAAAGCATGGAGGCATGGAACAGATTGACACACCTCAATGTGGGACTGGGACGAGAAGAGATAAACCAAAGAACTTCCATACTTACTAGAGGCCAGTGCAGGGATTCATGCACCAGTGGGGTCTCTTGGCCTGGCCTGTGGGGATCTGGCCAAAACCGGCTCTCCAACATCCCCAGAGGGGTCCTGGATTGTGAGAGGGTGCAGGCCAGGCCGAGGGACCCCACTGGTGCACGGCCAGAGAGGGACCATGAGAGGGCTCCAGGGTGTGTCCAGCCCAGCTCGCCCAGTCCTCATCGACCAGACCCCAGCAGCAAGCTAACCTATGGGTGGGAGTGTCTGCCCCCTGGTGGTCAGTGCACATCATAGCAACTGGTGCAACGGTGGAACACTTAGCATATAAGGCTTTTATTATATAGGACTAGAGGCCCAGTGCACATTTGCGGGGAGTGGGCCTAAGCCAGCAGGCAGACATCCCCTGAGGGGTCCTTAGCACTGCCACAGAGGTGGGAGAGGCTCCTGCCACTGCCACTGGGCTCACCAGCTGTGAGCCCAGCTTCTGGCTGAGCTGCCCTCCACCTGTGGGACCACAGTGACCACCAGGGGGCAGCTCCTGCATTGAGCGTCTGCCCCCTAGTGGTCAGTGCATGTCATAGCGACCGGTCGTTCTGTTGTTTGGTCTATTTGCATATTAGGGTTTTATCATATAGTATAGGATAGGCATAGCAGGGGCAATTGGATAGTGAAGACCTACGGGATGGGGGGGGGGGGGGGGGGGGGGGGGGATAATGGAAGGGAAATGGGAGATATCTGTAATAGTATCAACAATAAAAAATAATTTTAAAAATTACAACTGTAAGACGCCGCGTGCGTGCGGCGTGCAGTCGCCGCATGCGTGGAGACACGAAGGGACGACTCACATACAGGGCAAGACAGTGCAGGGTAGTGGGAAATTTCATAGAGCTACTCAGAACAGTGCAAATTGTAAAACTTAAGAATTGTTTCTTTCTGGAATTTTCCATGTAATATCTTCAGACCGTGGTTGACTGTGGTAACTGAAACCTCAGCGAAACACAGGTCTTTTGGCACAATTCTTGGACCAGGAACTGGCTCTGCCTCTCTTAGTCTCTCCCAGCCTGAACATGCCCTCTGGGTCAAGCCACGCAGTTCAGCTCTTCTCTCAACCTTTCTTTCCCAG